CAATCGACACTCGATGGGTGATGTGGTCTTGGCTCCACAGAATTTCCCCAGATAATCATAGGCACAACTTGGCCAGACTTCCTTATCATTTAATTGCCCCCTGACTGGATAGAATCACTTTCGTAGTCAAAAATACAGTACAATATTCAAGCAGGGAGAACACACAATTCGAACTAGGATCCCCTTTCCCAATCCCTCAAACCTCCCTAGGCCTAACCCTCTCTAACCCTAATCTGCTCAAAACTATACCCTTAATCTACCACATCCTGAAATTTTGGACTGTTCCGTGACCTGTGGATTTCCACTGTTTGTCGTCGGCTAATAAGAAAATACCCTCCCTAGCCCTGTTTACATGGGCGAGCCTGAAGTGCACGCATTCCTGGTAACTTAAAACGCGGGTCTATGATTATCCGCGAAACAAACGAAGATTTCTCCGTCGTCGCTATAAGAACGAAATAAAATTCTCGAAGTTCATGCTTCCACACATTAGGTATGGCTGGGTATATTCATTTTTCTAGCTCTTTATCCAAATGAGTAGTGTAAGTCTATTAATGAATATAAGGGGACATCTTTTACCAGAATATAGATGTATTTTACCACTGGAATTGCCATTCATTTTGAGTCCAGTGTCGGCATGACATAGACAGGATCTTAAACCTGTAAAAATCTTGAGGTAGGGTCATGGAAATACGAAATAACATAGGGTAATTAAAGTACAACTTACCCATACTCTCTTGAAATTCCCTGGTGAATAGTGTATATTTCAATGCAGATATATACAAGCTGACATAGAACCGTTTCTGTCTGTCCTGTGTCTTCATGCGTTACTTCGAGAATGACGTCAAGATTCAAGCATTCAAGCAGTCCTCGAACTCTCGAACTAGAAGCGAGAAAGATTCCTTCCGCCAAGATCGGCGGTGGTTCAGCCATGGAAATTGGCTTCGCCACTAATAAAAAATAACTTATCTGTAGGTTAATTTCCAATATAACTTTCTTCGAATATATTTAGGAGTGAATAAGATTCATTTTCAGATTTTCTGACCCACACTTATTAAAGAAGGACTATTTATCTATAACTGAATAATCCATATTTAAATCTAGATAATTAACATAGTGGGTTACATAGTATGGACTAAACCACTAGCATGGGGGTGTTTTCCTGGCATCGTGACAACAACAGGAAGAAGAAATCTCCAGACAGAATAAATAAGACATCACTGCTTATGTCCACTACAGATAAAAGTATCATTTCTGTGGTAAAAAGGGGGAGGGGGTTGGGGTTATATATTTATTCACCTTAGATTTCCGAAGACAACGACGCTAATTACAACTGAAGCCACCTCAAGTCCTGCAAAAGATTTCAGATTTAGTGGGATTACCCGGACGGCTGCACAAGGCCATGTCTGCCAGAGGAAAGTGTACTGTTGCTTGGAGATGGCGTGGCAGTGTATACAGCACGACTGCGGATATTTTGAAATCCATAAAATATAGCCAGCTAACTCTCCCGGAGTGCTTCTATTCGCACATTTCAGTAATTCCGAAGGTTTGTTTTATTTAATTCACCCCTCTCGGGGAATCCGAGATTTCATATGTAGTTCCCGGCAATGTCCAATAGTATAGGGGTGTTAGGGGTGGAATAAGCAACGACTAACACTAAGTCCCTCCCCACACCAATGATGTGTGGTAACTCCATCCACCCACACGGAGTAATAATGTGTGGTAACTCCATCCACCCACACGGAGTAATGATGTGTCGTAACTCCATCCACCCACACGGAGTAATGATGTGTGGTAACTCAATCCACCCACACGGAGTAATGATGTGTGGTAACTCCATCCACCCACACGGAGTAATGATGTGTGGTAACTCCTTCCACCCGCACAGAGTAATGATGTGTGGTAACTCCATCCACCCACACGGAGTAATGATATGTGGTAACTCCATCCACCCACACGGAGTAATGATGTGTGGTAACTCCATCCACCCACACGGAGTAATGATGTGTGGTAACTCCATCCACCCACACGGAGTAATGATGTGTGGTAACTCCATCCACCCACACGGAGTAATGATGTGTGGTAACTCAATCCACCCACACGGAGTAATGATGTGTGGTAACTCAATCCACCCACACAGAGTAATGATGTGTGGTAACTCCATCCACCCACAGCAAGATATGATGTGTGACAACGCCGTCCACCCACACAGAGACATGATGTGTGGCCACTATATCTACCAACACCGAGACATTATGTGTGGCAACTCCATCCATCCACATCGACACATTACGTGTGGCAACTTCATCCACCCACATCGAGTAATGATGTGTGGTAACTCCATCCAACCACACCGAGACATGATGTGTGGCGACTCGATCCACCCACACTGAGACATGATGTGTGACAACTCCATCCACCCACACCGAGACATGGTGTGTGGCGACTCAATTTACCCACACCAAGATATGATGTGTGGTAACTTCATCCACCCACACCGAGACATGATGTGTGACAACTTCATCCACCCACACCAAGATATGTTGTGTGGTAACTCCATCCA